TTGTATACCGAAAAATTCTAAAAATTTTAATTTAGTATTATAAATTAAACTAAATGATGAAAACATGGTGGGCACTCGGGAATATCTCTTTAAGCAGATTTAGGTGAGTACCAAGTCTGACTAACGAACTTAATGTTCAAGGTAATTTAAAAATTGCTCTGTATGAAAGAGGTCATGAGGTGAAATATTATTATAAAAGTGTCTAAGACGTTTGCACCATATTTGAGTATTTTTTGTTTTTGTTTCTCAAATAAAAAGAATCATTAAATCATGACGCGTCTTACCGTCGCGGATATTTTGCCGAAAACTTAGCACATGTATGGTGTGCACATTAGACGTGTGAAAATGTGCGATTAAGTTTTTTAAGGGCGAGGATTTATCGTGCAACTTTTGGAATTATTACGCATAATGATACGGCAGCACAGAGTTGAAATTCGAATAATAAAAAATAATAATAATAATGTCAACTATAATACGACGTATATTCCTCAGGTCAGGGCCGAGTGCAGAACCGTTCACACGTTGTTTTTGAAGTTTCGGATAACGTCATAATTTATTTCTGTTGTCCGTGACTCGGGCCCGCGCAATTTATATGCAAAACGTCTTCGCAAAACTATATATGACGAACAGTTTCAACGCGTTCGCCGGCACATCAATAACCGGACGAGTTGTATTCGTAGAATATATATACGTATGTACATTGTTATTATTATTTTTTATTTTTGTATCGGCGGCGACGACGTCGGAGACGATAAATTATAATATGAGATTGCGTCTCTGGATCTGCGCGAACAAAAATAAATCGTTCGGCGGGAGGAACTATAAAACAACGGCGGGACTATATTTGGGCGGGGGTTTTCGTCGAACGAAACGGTATAATTTATATTCATAATAATTGAAAATTAGAAAAATCAATTTTGTGATAACGCTGCTGCTGCAGCAGGCGACGACGATATTATATTATTTCGTAGATATAATTTAATTCGGACGCATAAATTGCGCGCTCGACACATCGAACACTGCAACAGTAGCAGTAATACAATTTAATATTTACCTCTGTTTTGATTTATCGGACCCGGGCACAAAGCGATTTTATTGCAATTGTTATTTTTAAAAATAAAACAAAGAATATTATACGGCCTCCTCGCGCACTGAGCGATTGAATTTTTTTCATTTAAAAGCTTAAAACGACAATGAAAGGCTGCTAATGTTTCTATTTTCCTTCGCAGTCGATTGAATTAGATTACTGTATTCTTATATTATATTATACTATAATTACTTTCCACGTGTACATATTTAATTTATATACGTGTTTTTTGTTATACTTGATAGTTGAAGTTTTATCGTTATATATATATTTTATTTTTTGTTCCTCCAGCATCGACCAATCACCATCGAAATCGTCCTGCAAACTCCGAACCCGCAAAACTACTATTACACCTCTCCCGAAAGACAAAAACAGGTGTCCGTCGTCAGAACCTCAATCTACATTTTTGGGAAAATTCGAGTCTTCCAATCGGAAAGAACTCTTATGGCTATTATAGTTTTTTTCGGTACACCGGTTATCACTCGAATACCACAACGCTTGAACGGTATACCATTATACCAGTAAAATACCGTATATTATACCATATAGATTTATGGCTCGATACAGGGCCGTTGACAGTGTTTTAGTGTTTATACCCATAATGGTTCGAATATCACGATACTGGTGTCCGCTATCTGGCTATCAATATCATCAGCCCAAAAACTATATATCGTCGTCGACTCAAATTTGACCGAAGACTTCGTGTTGTATGTTATTATTAGGTAATATACTTTGTGAGGCATTTTTTTTTTTTTATGTAGAGACCATCCACGATGACTGTAGATTTGACTCAGGAGCATGGGACGAAAAAAAAGAAAGGTGAAATAAGGTTATGGCGATGCCAATACACTAACCACAGGGAGGTTTTGATGGCAGACGTCATCGCCCGACGAAGAAGCGCGTTGTTTTTGAGCCATATGACACGATTTACATAGATAATTTACGTATACATATTATGTGCGAATGTATTGACTCAGATAAATGACAAGTAGAACACGAGTGCGAACCCTCCGGTTTACACGATGGCCTATATGACTGTATACGCGAGCAAAAGTTAGTGCGTCTAAAAAGGCCACGGACTTCGCTATGGGCCACGTCGAGGAGTCGTCAGTCATGTTCAGTCGATCGAGACGTGAGTGATAATAGTGTTGAAGTGCTTGGACAAAACGTGTGTACAGAACTTCTTATAGCATTTCGACTTCAGAGAATTCAGACTCTTTGTCGACTGTATTCGATCAATACGGCCGGTTCATAAGTGTTCATTTCAATATTAATCATATTAATATATTCGTCTAGTAATAAATAATATGTATTATATATTATTATATGCTCAGTGAGTCGGTTACCCATCACGTATAGTACCGAGAATAATATCGCTGTACTTGCGCACTTCGGAACTTCGGAAGGATGTACCGCGATGAAGTTCATTAGCGTAAGTGGCTTTCCCGATGAAGGTACGATGTCTTAATAATATTAAAATGTCATCAGTCTGTCCGATGCTAACGAAAGGCTGCAGGATTACCTATGTTCAGTTCCTTGGTGTGTGTAGGAGAAAATTCGTTTTCGGGACAGCGCATAATAGATATATTTTTTTATCATGTAGATGACTATCATCGTTTTTATCGTTTACGATTATGGCCCATGAAAGCGGCCGGGATTTTTTTTCTACAAATTTTTTTTCCGCGTCGTCGCTTTAATAAAAATCAACACTGTATTTTTTGCCTCGTATCGTTCGATGGTCCGTCGTCCCACGAGTGCATTTTGTTTTTTTTATTCTTTTTAATGTCATACCAGAAAAATCGTAAACGTCCTTTTCCCCTTCTCCTCCTCATCGTCAACTATTTCGTACACGGTTTATTATATGCTTCGTTGATTAAAAAAAAAAAATTAACATTACAAATAATTTATATTAACGATACCGTCCAGATAAAAAAATATAAGCATCGTTTCGAATGTTATTCTGTGATTATTTTAGCAGCTTTTATTGTTTCTTTGTATGGTAAATTAAATACCAAGCTCCAGTAGTAGGTATATGGAAGTGTATGGTTGAGATTTCTGGACGATTTTTTATCCTTTTCGATTAAATACAATATATTTCATGTTCTCGCATTTCTATATGAAATGAAAAAAAAAACATTATAATACATCGATCTTTTTTTCTAAAATCATTTTCGAAATTAGTTTGAATAATATTTCAAGGAAGAGGGTAACAACTATAATCTCTGCTCAAAAAAAAAAAAAATTATTATTATAAGCTATAACGTTTGTACCTTTGTAGTAAATTATTAATACATACATAAACTATAATATACCCGAATATATTGTATATTTATACATCGTGATCATACATCATACATCATCATACATTCTTATTTGCAAATTGATTTTAACAACGCGTTTATTTAAATTCTATTTTTCGTAATTCCTAAGTATAACGCACATATTTTCCAGTAAGCACTAAGATTTTTTTTACAATTTAAGAATTTTTCCAAATAAGCATCCCCCATTTTTTGACAAAGATAGAAATTGTGATAATTTTTTTTTTATACAATTTTTAATTTTGCATGGGGGCAAAATAAACTATTCTGTAGAAATAATTTAATATCTTTCATCTAGTCAAATGTATAGTTATTAAGATTTTGTCATCATAGCTACATTTTTTTGGCATTTCATGAAGTTTTGTAGGCCATATAATATAATGTACTGGTTTTGTTAGTTTTAATATTGAAGTATTATGGAAGTAGTATCACTATTTATTTATGTTCACAAAATTTATATTTCAAGCATAATTTAGTAAGTTACAGTATATTCGGTCACTAAGTTATTAAATTCTTTCCGACGATAGACGAACACATCATAGCGAACTAAAACAATATATTAAATTATAATAAAAGTATATTGTTACATCGTTATAGAAGTGTAATAACAAAATGGTGACATATAATATAAGGAATAGGTACCTACAAAAAAATAAGAGAAAAGAAATAGGTAGATCACCATGACAATATTTTTGTTTACAATATTTATTATTTATTTAAAACAATTCGTTTTCTAAAACATTTAGTTATCCACCTATTCGACATTTTTGATGTTTAAAATAATATTTTATTTAATACATTTTACTATAAATAATTAATAGTATTGTAAAAGTGTGTATTTGACTATTAATAAACCTACACCTTTTGCTACATAGTATAACACACAATGTCCTACACATTAATTTTCTTTAAATTCAAAAAATTCCATCCAACTTCGAAGTCGTATATTCCACACCAACACCTTCGATGAACTTATTCTACATTATGGTGTACACAACACCAATACGACGAATTGTCGAGTGTTAATTTTCATCAAGGAGCTGTAATACGTGGACATGGCAATGATAGTGAAAATCGAGTATTAAATTATGGGAAAATGGTAATTCAATAATACATTTTACAGTTATTCGCTTAGTTTTGTTTATGAAATTTAATATAATAATATTAACAGTTTCCCTATTGAACTTGACGTAGGTATAACTATTGAATGTATGTAACTTTATATGGTTGAATCTACCTATTTAGTAATGCGGTTGAAAAATAATTTTAAATAGTTTAAATTCGTATCCCGTGTGTCGTGATCACTAATCACTATGATGTACCTACCTACCTACTAAAAAATGAATAGTACAAAAATAACCAGAAATAGTCGAATGGCTGAATTTAGAAAAATATAAAATTTTATAAAGTTTCTGTCTTGTGCAGAAAATATTAGGGTTCGATTAGTGACCTTTTCGTGTTTTAATATTTTATCATTGTTCGGTTACTAATTTTATTTGAGTTAGTACGTCCAATTAATTCGTTACAAGCTTATATTTTCAAACTTATTTGTTCATTATACTTAAGAAATGTTGCAAACATTTTTTTAAAATACAATGACGAATGCAATGATTAGGGTATTACATATTTTATATTTTTGCATTGACTTATTACATTTATTCGTATACAAAACGTTAAAATAGTTTGGTTGTATCCACTCAATCATCTTGTGTTTTCATATTTCAGGATATTTGGGCTTTGGGAAACTGGGAAATAGTTGCAGTTTGGATTATAACGCACTTATTGGACAGTAAAATAATCGAATATAAGAAACTCTTTAAACTATTTGACTTAGCCAACAAGTCGTGTCTTTACTCTTTAGACGAAGGTCCTTTAAATTTTGAATTCCAGACCAAAAGTTCGAGGTCGTGCTACTGAAATTATTTCACAATTATACGGTAATTATTGCTGAAAAATCAACAATTTCGTAATTGATACTTATTATTATAGTATTATTGGAACGTAGTAACAATAATCACTAATTATTAGATTTGAGAAGAATAGGTGATTAATAATATCATATTATATTGATATGGTCACCCGCCTCACTAATTATATTATGGTAGATCATTATTGTGACTGACAAACTAAATAAGAAAAAAATTGTATTGTTATACTTTTGATAATAAGATGAAGCCATGTTGTGTTAGTGGTAATAGTACATTTTGATCTAGCACAATAATTACATAGTATATAAATACAATTCCACAGTTTTTTGTTGTTTAATATTATTATTCTTTAACATGTTATCCACATAACAATAAAATTACATTAAAAATTAGACCTTTTGGTACCTACCAAAAATCACAGAATAAAGAAATATATTAGAATTATTTCAATTGCAATTTTGTTTTAACGTTTGACCCAGGTAATAATAATAATATCTTAAAAGACACCGAGCTCATTAAAAATTGAATTTGTTCATACAAAATAAATTTTATAAATACTAATGCTTACCATAAGTCCATGAAAACAGATAGGTATAACACTTGTTTTCTTTTTCAAAACATATTATTCCTATCTAACTTTGACATCTTGGTTATTTTTTCACAAGTGAATAAAGTAATTGCAACCATCAATACAGCCAAATACGCACTGGAAAATGAGTTTGTTCTTCATTGACCATAACATGTATCATGTATGTGTAAATATAAATGAAGCTTCTCCTGTTGGCCAAACAAACAACAATTATTTTTCCTGCCCAATTATTCATACACGATAAGCATATTGTTTTACAGTATAACTTATACGCGATCATTAATTTGTCTGAATAGAAAATTTAATTTATTTGAATAATTCCTAAAACTGATAATATATTATCTGTACCTTTTTATTCCTAATATTTACGATATGCATATGTTCACTTATTGAAATACTGTAATCATTCAGCATTCAGCTGCAGCATAAATTACTAACAGATCGTCGGGCGTAATAAACGACCACCCAAAATATTATGTTTATGTATGGTAACAGAAAGGGACTGCATACGGTCACCGGGTTAGGTATTAAGACATGTGGCATTTTTCTATTCGGATAGGAGTGTGGTCGATGAAGGGATTTGACTTCGAAGGGAGAGCTGTATAGTTCTTGGAAACATAAAAATGTTTGATAAAACTGCATCGCTGCGGGTCAAAATGACCATGTCGACTTTGTAAGCAGTACCAGTGCAGCATCGAGTCCGATCGCAACATCTTAGAAACAACGTGTCCGTAATAGGGACGAGAGACCAACGAGTGACTTGTGGTTTCTTTTCGCAATCGATAATCAGTGAGTTTTTAATTTTCTATTTGATTCATGAATATATTGTACTTAATGTCTGTATGTAATTCGAGTGCGTATTTTGCGTTACCTAAACTCGTATCACAGCATCGTAGTCCACAAGCAGCTGAAAATCAGGTAAAACTATGTTCATAAGCTGTTCAACGAGTTAGAAATTATCTTCTTTTTTTTTACTAATGGACATTTTTTAATTCTGATTTTTGTATGTTAATAAACACTAATAATATTATAATCTTAAAATAAAAATAAGAAATTGACGGAGGTATTAAATGTATATATACAAAAATGAAATGTTATCCGTTTTTAACCACATTACTTAATTTCCTTTTTTCATGTTCTTAATAGTTTTAATGAGGTTTTTATTGAAAATAACATAGGAAAAGTTGCCCCGAAAATTGAAACTGAAGTATAAAAATATGGCTTTCATTGGTACCATATTATAAATGTATAATAAATGTAAATATTTGCCACAGGTTACTTATAATATAATTTATAAGATCTAATAATTTTAACTTATAATTTTGATATTTCGTCACTATATCTTTGACCAATTGTTGGATGTTAATAGACTCAACAACTACTGGACAGTTTTCAACACCAATTATAATTCCTTGAGATTTAAACGGTGCCTATAGCTACCTATTTTTTCAATCCCAATGAGTACCTCGTAACTAAAAGGAATCTCATTGGTACATGCAATTTCGAATTATTGAAAAAAATATTCTTCTTTAGCGTTGCCATTATTAAGTTACATTTATTTTATTACGATGATTATAATTAGTGATTAGTACCTACATACATGTAGGTTTTTATAAAAAAAATCTTCGTCACGGTCAACGTCGAGCGGGAAAGCTAGTATTAAATATTTTTAAGTTAATTGAAAATACTCATGGATAAAAAAGTTTTGTTTTTATTTTTCTGGAAAAAATAATCGAAATTGATTATCCTTGTATAACTTCTAGAAACAATTCCTTCATAGAAAACAAACACAATGTTCTGTTGGAGGTGCTATTGTTTATTTCGGTATATACTAGTTGCGGTCAACATCAAAAATTACGTACTAGTTGCGGTCACCCAACAAAAAGGTTACATACTAGTTGCGGTCACCCAACAAAAAGGTTACATACTAGTTGCGGTCACTCAAAATATAGACAAAGTATATATGGTATAAACCATACTATTTTATTTACAAAAAAGTTTCAAAATGTTCCTTCCCATTTATATTAGACTTAGGACTGTCTACACTATTTTTATTATGTAGGTATGGTTAAAAATGTTGGTACTTGGTTTTATGTTTAAATTAAGTGGTTAAACTTATATTGAATAATATAATATAATGTTGTATAATTGTTTTTTTATAATTTTATTACATATTTCTAAATAAGTTTTTGGCATTTTGTGAGTACAAATTTGAAAGAAATTGACTTAACATTTTATAGTCAATTAATTTTACCCTCTTCATAGGTAGCGTATTTTTTGAGCTATTAAATGCTCTTTCTCGGTCGAAATCTCATTCGCACGAATAGTTTTTGAACAATTCATTTTCAAATAATTATTTGTTTGAATTTCGTTTATTGCCTCAAGAAGTATATAAATATTTAGGTGAGAGTGGTAAAACATGATATTGAGCTTCAAATGAAAACTTTCGCATGCATTGGTTGTTCGTGTAATGGAAGAAGATTATTCAGCCCATAATAATAAGTATAGCCCAGTAAAGTTATTATATCAACAACAAAAAGTATCTTATTCGAAATAATTTTTCATTGTAATCTGTATTGTATTTTACTAATTATTTTACTAGAAATTCTACATTATCCTCATCAGTTAAATAAGATACAAAAAATAAATTATATTACTTAATACTTACCATATCAGTCTGGCCAAAAATACGTAGTTTAATACGTATTATTACATACTGTTCAAAATACAGAGTTATACATATACCGGTATATAAATTAATTTCATTAAATGTATGGTAGAACATTGAAAATTAATTTATTACCTACGTCCTACATGTTTCATCATTATGTGAAAGTAAATTGGTTGTCAAGTTGTCAACACAAAGTAGTCAAAAGTACTCTCTGGTGTATTGAAATAAAAAATTAATTTAATTCAATGAATTACTATGGAAAACCATTCTTTGAAAAAAAAACTGTTTTAGTTTTTTGATATACATCAAAAACTAATAACTGTAGATATTGTAAATTTTCACCATTTGTTTATTTTATAATTGTCTAAATGGTATAATTTTAACTCGTTTTGAGCTATTTATAGACATTTTAAATTCTTTTGAAAGAAGCCACGTAATAATTATTTTAAAAAATATCCATAACCGTCGACACAAAATCATAATTACGCTTATGTTTTATTATATTACGTGTGGCAAACCCAGAATGGATAAAGTTTAACTTGCTAATATTCCTATGTTACAGATATGTAGAATACATACCTATTTAAACTATTTAAAGTTATCTGATTTAAAAGATAAAAAATAACTATAAAAAGTCCTCAGCTTTCTCTGCAAGTTATTTATATAACATTTTTATTTGTACTATGCATCAAATTTGCCTATTGTTTTAAATGACATTTTGTAGTTATCTTTTTTAATAAAAAAAAACTAAAAAGACTCTGAAAACTTTTGTCCTAATCTGATCCATTGAGGTTACTTACTTTATGCGATAAGTTTCATGTTTTAAATTAAAAAAATTATTATTATAAAGGGTTAATATTGATTTTACAATACTAAGACATTTTATAATATATAAAACCGCTGATAATAGTAGGCAAGTAAGCATATTAAGTACAGGCAATTTTACATTTAAAATAATATTAGTTTAATTTATAGTATACATGTTGTTGATGTAGAAATATAAAATTATATTAACATTTCGCTAATCGAGGTAGCCAAGTCTTGTAGTTATTTAGGTGATAATATGATTCTTAATAAACACCTTTACCATCATAGCATTGTTATTTATTCCGCTGTGACAGCACTGCCATCGAGCATCTGACATTGTTAACACTTAATAAGTACTGTATAAAGTGCCACTAAACTCAACTATACCAACAAAAAGCAGTTCCTATATTTTTTTTTAAATAAATACATATTTAAAATTAAAATTCAACCACTATTATTTTTTTATTTTTTTTTTTTGTCAGATTTGAAATATGAATAAAAAATTCGTTTCTGACATATATTTCAGATAAATTTTATAAATCATTGGTGACGTCCGACAGCACCAACTACAATGTTTCAAGTCACAACAACACTATCAATTTCAAATGCTGTAACAACAACAACAACGATGGCACCAAGCACAATAATTGCAATCGCAACAGAACCAACTACAAGTAAAATTCCACCAACCACAAAAATTCAACACCCATGTTGGATAAGCAAAAAACGAAAAAAAATTATTCTTAGGCAAAATTATGAAGAAAAATTAATGTTAGCATCAACTAGAAGATTTCTAACCACGACAACACAATCAAAAAGTACAATATCACCAACCACGATGTTTCCAGATACAAATAAACCAGCTACAATGACTCCAGTAATTTCAAAAACTGTAAAAACAACAACGATGGCTCAAACCACGATAATTCCATCTACAACAATGACAATGCCAACTACAAAAATACCAACAATTTCATCTAAAATATTTCCAGGCACAACAGTAACTTTAAACACAGTTACAACGGCTATGGCATCAAACACAACATTTCCAACTACGACAACGCCAGCGGCAAGTATAATGTCATCAATTACAATGTTTCCAGATACCAAAACTCCAATCACAGTAACACCAATAATTTTAAGCACTGCAACAACAACAACTATGGCATCAACGACAGTAATTATATCTATAAATCTGACAATGCCAACCACACAAATACCAACAATTCCATCTACAATATTTCTGGATACTTCTACACCAACAACAATGACACCATTAATTGCAAACAGTGCTACAACTGTGGCATCAACCTCAATATATCCAACTAATACAAGACCAATACTAAGTACAATGTCTACAACTTCAATGTCTGACTCAAAAACAACAGCAATAATAACCCCAATAATTTCAAATACGATAACTTCAACATCTATGACACCAACTATAATAATTACAACAACTATAACAGACCTAAGTAAAATGTCACCAACCGCAAGGTCTCAGCACCCATTATGGATAAGCAAACAACGAAAGAGAAGAATGTTTAGGCAAAAATGTTACGAAAAGAAACTTATGTCATCGAATAAAATATTTCTAACTACAATAACAACAACACAATCTCCAGTCACAACGTTGCCTGACACAAAAACACCAATAACACCAATAATTTCAAACACTGCAACAACAACCGTTGAATCAACCACAACATTTCAAACTACGACACCAAGTATTATGCCACCGACCACCGACCACAGGATTCAATGGTTTGATCTAATTGATCGAATGAATCTGTTCGACGACGAACTTAACCGAACAGTGATGACACCAATCACAACAAAACCACGTACTATGTCACAAATTACAATGTTTCCGGAAACAATAACTCCAGCCACAATAACACCAATTATATCAAACACTTCAACAACGACTATGGTATCAACCAAAACATGTCTAACTACAACAAGACCAAAACCAAGTACCATATCACCAACCACAATATTCCCAGGTACAGCAACACCAGCTACATTGACACTAGTAATTTCAACCACTGCAACAATAACTACGTCATCAACCACAACAAGTGAAATATCAAATNAGTTTTTGAACAATTCATTTTCAAATAATTATTTGTTTGAATTTCGTTTATTGCCTCAAGAAGTATATAAATATTTAGGTGAGAGTGGTAAAACATGATATTGAGCTTCAAATGAAAACTTTCGCATGCATTGGTTGTTCGTGTAATGGAAGAAGATTATTCAGCCCATAATAATAAGTATAGCCCAGTAAAGTTATTATATCAACAACAAAAAGTATCTTATTCGAAATAATTTTTCATTGTAATCTGTATTGTATTTTACTAATTATTTTACTAGAAATTCTACATTATCCTCATCAGTTAAATAAGATACAAAAAATAAATTATATTACTTAATACTTACCATATCAGTCTGGCCAAAAATACGTAGTTTAATACGTATTATTACATACTGTTCAAAATACAGAGTTATACATATACCGGTATATAAATTAATTTCATTAAATGTATGGTAGAACATTGAAAATTAATTTATTACCTACGTCCTACATGTTTCATCATTATGTGAAAGTAAATTGGTTGTCAAGTTGTCAACACAAAGTAGTCAAAAGTACTCTCTGGTGTATTGAAATAAAAAATTAATTTAATTCAATGAATTACTATGGAAAACCATTCTTTGAAAAAAAAACTGTTTTAGTTTTTTGATATACATCAAAAACTAATAACTGTAGATATTGTAAATTTTCACCATTTGTTTATTTTATAATTGTCTAAATGGTATAATTTTAACTCGTTTTGAGCTATTTATAGACATTTTAAATTCTTTTGAAAGAAGCCACGTAATAATTATTTTAAAAAATATCCATAACCGTCGACACAAAATCATAATTACGCTTATGTTTTATTATATTACGTGTGGCAAACCCAGAATGGATAAAGTTTAACTTGCTAATATTCCTATGTTACAGATATGTAGAATACATACCTATTTAAACTATTTAAAGTTATCTGATTTAAAAGATAAAAAATAACTATAAAAAGTCCTCAGCTTTCTCTGCAAGTTATTTATATAACATTTTTATTTGTACTATGCATCAAATTTGCCTATTGTTTTAAATGACATTTTGTAGTTATCTTTTTTAATAAAAAAAAACTAAAAAGACTCTGAAAACTTTTGTCCTAATCTGATCCATTGAGGTTACTTACTTTATGCGATAAGTTTCATGTTTTAAATTAAAAAAATTATTATTATAAAGGGTTAATATTGATTTTACAATACTAAGACATTTTATAATATATAAAACCGCTGATAATAGTAGGCAAGTAAGCATATTAAGTACAGGCAATTTTACATTTAAAATAATATTAGTTTAATTTATAGTATACATGTTGTTGATGTAGAAATATAAAATTATATTAACATTTCGCTAATCGAGGTAGCCAAGTCTTGTAGTTATTTAGGTGATAATATGATTCTTAATAAACACCTTTACCATCATAGCATTGTTATTTATTCCGCTGTGACAGCACTGCCATCGAGCATCTGACATTGTTAACACTTAATAAGTACTGTATAAAGTGCCACTAAACTCAACTATACCAACAAAAAGCAGTTCCTATATTTTTTTTTAAATAAATACATATTTAAAATTAAAATTCAACCACTATTATTTTTTTATTTTTTTTTTTTGTCAGATTTGAAATATGAATAAAAAATTCGTTTCTGACATATATTTCAGATAAATTTTATAAATCATTGGTGACGTCCGACAGCACCAACTACAATGTTTCAAGTCACAACAACACTATCAATTTCAAATGCTGTAACAACAACAACAACGATGGCACCAAGCACAATAATTGCAATCGCAACAGAACCAACTACAAGTAAAATTCCACCAACCACAAAAATTCAACACCCATGTTGGATAAGCAAAAAACGAAAAAAAATTATTCTTAGGCAAAATTATGAAGAAAAATTAATGTTAGCATCAACTAGAAGATTTCTAACCACGACAACACAATCAAAAAGTACAATATCACCAACCACGATGTTTCCAGATACAAATAAACCAGCTACAATGACTCCAGTAATTTCAAAAACTGTAAAAACAACAACGATGGCTCAAACCACGATAATTCCATCTACAACAATGACAATGCCAACTACAAAAATACCAACAATTTCATCTAAAATATTTCCAGGCACAACAGTAACTTTAAACACAGTTACAACGGCTATGGCATCAAACACAACATTTCCAACTACGACAACGCCAGCGGCAAGTATAATGTCATCAATTACAATGTTTCCAGATACCAAAACTCCAATCACAGTAACACCAATAATTTTAAGCACTGCAACAATAACAACTATGGCATCAACGACAGTAATTATATCTATAAATCTGACAATGCCAACCACACAAATACCAACAATTCCATCTACAATATTTCTGGATACTTCTACACCAACAACAATGACACCATTAATTGCAAACAGTGCTACAACTGTGGCATCAACCTCAATATATCCAACTAATACAAGACCAATACTAAGTACAATGTCTACAACTTCAATGTCTGACTCAAAAACAACAGCAATAATAACCCCAATAATTTCAAATACGATAACTTCAACATCTATGACACCAACTATAATAATTACAACAACTATAACAGACCTAAGTAAAATGTCACCAACCGCAAGGTCTCAGCACCCATTATGGATAAGCAAACAACGAAAGAGAAGAATGTTTAGGCAAAAATGTTACGAAAAGAAACTTATGTCATCGAATAAAATATTTCTAACTACAATAACAACAACACAATCTCCAGTCACAACGTTGCCTGACACAAAAACACCAATAACACCAATAATTTCAAACACTGCAACAACAACCGTTGAATCAACCACAACATTTCAAACTACGACACCAAGTATTATGCCACCGACCACCGACCACAGGATTCAATGGTTTGATCTAATTGATCGAATGAATCTGTTCGACGACGAACTTAACCGAACAGTGATGACACCAATCACAACAAAACCACGTACTATGTCACAAATTACAATGTTTCCGGAAACAATAACTCCAGCCACAATAACACCAATTATATCAAACACTTCAACAACGACTATGGTATCAACCAAAACATGTCTAACTACAACAAGACCAAAACCAAGTACCATATCACCAACCACAATATTCCCAGGTACAGCAACACCAGCTACATTGACACTAGTAATTTCAACCACTGCAACAATAACTACGTCATCAACCACAACAAGTGAAATATCAAATACTTTAAAGAATCCGAACCCATTAATGTTAAGCAAGAGACAATTGAAACGTAGGAGACGAATGAAACATAGAATACATCCAACGATTGCGACCACACCATCTATAAAAACAGTAACTACTCCAACTACAACGCCAACACCTATTCCAACTACAATGTTTCCAGACACAACAACATTAGCAACAACAACCCCAGTACAATTTCAAACGCTGCAACCTATAAAAACAGTAACTAGTCCAGCTACAATGTTTCCAGACACAACAACATTAGCAACAACAACCCCAGTACAATTTTAAACGCTGCAACAGCAACAACACAACCAACGATTTTTCCAATCACAACAATTCTATCAACATCGACACCAACACCAATATTTCCAAACACAAAGACATCAGCAACAGGGACACCAATATTCTCCAATACAACAACAACAATGGCAATGGCCTTCGCCGCAACAATTATATCAATATCCCCACTAACGCCAAGTACAAAGTAACCAATCACATTTTTCCAGGCACAAAATCACCAAAAACATTGATACCAGTAATTTAAATTACTTTAACAGATCCAACACTTGACACAATTCCATCAACTATAGGGACTCCAAACCTATAACCGTTGAGCAAAAAACATAAATCATAGTTAAGACAATATTACAAAAAAAACTTTAGTTTATCACGTGATATATAGCGAACATATATACCACACATAATTTTTATGAAAATGTATTTTATAGTATATCAAAATGTACAAAAAAATAATAATATTAATTTAAATAGTTGTTTGACATTAAGTCTATACCATTGTATAATTAATTTTCTAATATTGTATTATATCTACACTGCCATTTTAATAGTAATTATTAATACAACCACTTACACACATTACACAACTTTATATATTACTTTTACTATACATATTTATTATTTATAAACAAATACAACTGTAGGTACCTATATAATGTGAATATAATAATCTAACCTCGAGAACATGGTGAAAAATCGAATTCCTGTGTAATTATTGTAGTACAAAACATTTCCATTTTATGTCTAAATAAATAAACAGAATAGCTAATTCCAAAGTGACCATTATGGGTGTAGAATAACATACTACGCATATTTTACATAATATACACACAAGTGTGAACAAGCTCACCAATTCTCTACAATATACCACAGGTGCTAAATTAGCAAAAATTAAGTTGCCCAAGACCCACATAAACTAATGGCCGTACAGAACTCCTAGAACGTTTCGTCTATCCAATACAAGCCAAAAGTAGAAGGGACGACATTACCACAAACGAATCGTGACAATCATATACAAGGGTTGAACGAAAACTACCCCATCGTAGTGGGGCCAATTTCTCTTAGCAAAAGTCTCAACACATATCATCCATCTCTTTTTACTATTCAAATGAGTAATTTCCGTACCCTCGCACATAATATAAAATACACATTAATTGTTATTCAATCATCCGGTTATGGTCATAGAATTAACTATTTTGTACTATTAACAAAACTGGCTTGTTACTTTATTTTCTTATCAAACCTTTAAACACTTTCCATGTTTATTTTTAAGCCTTAAAATCTAAGTAAATATTTACTAGCATATATCTATGACCTAATATCAATATATGCCCCGACTAATGCAGTAGGTAAGTACCTGTAAAAGCTACTAGTGTCATGTTGATTTTTATTTATAAAAACTGTATTCAATTCATAACAACAATTATATTTATATTATTTTTCAATTAGGTATTAGAACGTTTGTTCTCTAAATAACGACATTTTTTTTAAACATATTTAACTAGTAGAAGAATTTTAAATTTTGTAAAGTAAAAATAATGACACAAGTTTTACATTATGAGAGAAAATATTCATTGATATTAGGTACTCTATAAATACTTGTATACAGATACGCGTAAAGTAATAATGATATTATAATGGTTATTATTATTATTATTATTATTATTATTAACCCATCCTAGAAAGTTAATGTGTTTTTTTTTTTTATATGTAAAATAGAGTACGAATAACGATTAGGTTAAAAGGTGTCCTGACAATTTTCTATTCTGTCAACGGGTATCGGTTATATCAAGAGTGGATAAATTTGATTGAGAGAATTGAATGACGACGTAGTTTTTTACCGAGTCGTTTGTAGGGTTTAGGTGCTTTTATGAATGATCATTATGTTAAGATCATTGTAATGGAGGGTTCGATTACTATCATTCATGGGACCGTGTGGGCTGCCCCTACCGCTTTAGACAAATTAAGATGATAATATACGTTATACATTTTGACATAAACTACGATTTTTTTCCTCCCCTCAACCTCGCACCTTAGATATATTTCAACAGGTGTGATAAAAAGACTAAAAAGATTACAGTTGTGTTTGAATCTGTGCATGCTCGTAAGGTGCAGCTTTGTAAGAAGCGAGTCGGATAGTAGCTTATTAAGTACATTTTAATTACTATTAATAACTAAAAGTTAATATAAAATAATATAACAAATAATCTAGATACGTCCACATATAGTCGAATCTTAAGATATTCGAATTATAAATATTAATTTTATTGTACAATTTTAAAAATACATCGTAGGTACCACTTTAGTCCACTATAGTCATTACCAACCTCTTGAGAAATAATTTATTTCCAAGTAAGTCATTATAGGCACATTAGAATAAAATATAGATAGCCCTACTGAGTCTGAGCTACACTAGGTACCACCTACCTTCATTACATTTATATTGCTCAATGAAAATAATAACGACACTGCAGCATATATGCGGACTTCATGAAGTTGTAGGTATCTACTGGCTACTATGTATTTAACAATAATTAAACGTAAACAGTATCATAATATAATATGGTTCATGTATAATATATCATGTTGTGTTGATTTACACATAAAAGTACTATTATATACGTATTATAGGCACACAGCTAAGAGACCGTGTAAAAGTAGCGTGATAATAAGTATTATACCTGTGGAGCGGCTTAATGATCGGTTAAAAAATGTGACCGCCAGTTCTACGAGCCCACACACACACACACACACACACACACACACACACACACACACACACTTGGCCACGATCGTTTTACTCGATTTCCCGATTGTCATCTAACCTCGTTTGTTTGAGTACTCATATAGCATATATTATAGGTAGAAGATGCATTTACCTGGTATATACGCGATAAGTAATTTATGATCAATTAGTAATGCAATTGGATCACTGCGTGTAGGTATAGGTGGTATACCTATAAATACCTGCGTATACCAGACCATTTAGATACCATCATCGCATTGCGTTTAATATAATATAAGACACGGCCATGGAAACCTACGGGAAACATGGGTCACGTGATTTACTGATTCGCGCCAAAGCAGTTGTAAGTAGGTATCGATTAAAATAATCTTTTGGAATGATAATTATTTAAAAATGAAAAAATTAGAACGGATTCAAATTAAAGTTATAATGCAAGGTAACGCTGTTACAGTTTAGATAATTATATAGTTTTTATTATATAATCTATCTACAAATAAAAATGAGTGTACTTTTGGATGAGGCTCATTGACTTGGAAACTGCCTACTGAACCAATCGGCACCATATTTTGCACACATATTTTTTCGAGACTGAGAGAATGCACATTGCTTCGTTTTTTCAACCCTTACAGATGTTGTCAAAGGATGTCTCATACATGAATTTCATTTTTACTCACGAAAATTGATTTGTTTTTCTATAATATATTGTATACATATTATATAGGGTATTATTATATCCACTATAGTTACTGTCCGTAGCTTATAGACTCAACAATTACTAAGCCGATTTCGGAGTAAAAAACAGTTTTTAAAAATATCAAAAACATTTGGAGTATAGCTATATTAAACCAAGTTCAAAAATATACCAATTACTAAGTGCTATTCCCGACAAGGATGCTGTAGAATCTCGGTCGAGGTATTTCATATAACGATCGAGGTTCGCAAACCCAGGTATACACTAAGGCACACCGATTACCCATAACTTTGTAATTTTACACGTCTTTATTTTTTTATTGGCAAAGTCATATTATTCAGCTATAGTTTGTAGGTACCTGGTAAGTACATATAATATTAGTCTATACTAGGTCCTTGACATACCTATTGAACTATATAATATGAATACATCATACGTTAGTTGCTGGCACCAAAAAAGTCTGATAACACTTGAGAGATAAATATAATTATGTAATTCGACCCTAAAAAGAATAGGTGCTAATAATAATGAATAAGAACGAAGAATTATAGCAGAGTAAATACTAAAACCTGATGGAGCAGCCTTTCGCAAACCTTTCCTCAGCCAGTCCTCTTAGACTTTAGTTTATAGTAAAAAATAAAAATGATTGCGGAGCCGGTAATAAAAATAACCCAGGAATTATAAACAGCGATAATACGCAGACCACTTCAGTAAGTAGTCTAAGACTTAGCTTTACGGGGCGTGTGTGGTAAGCGGAGGATATGATAGTAAACAAGGACCCAATTTGGAATCCAGATCGAGCAAGACCAAGAATAAGGCCAATACGGTGGTGCAATCAAGATGGAGGAGACCATGGAGTTCCTGTAGTAGTCGGAGACGGAGTACGGACATCTTTGTATGCGAATATCGAGACCCTAATGAAAGTGGCGATAAGTCTAAGCGGCTTCGAATAAGCCTAAAGAAAAAAAAAAATTGAAGTAACACGTTTTCGGAGCATTGTAACTGCGAACAACGTTCATATACAGCGGTTTTAAAGCTATTTGGACAGAAATCGATTTTAGAGGCGAACGTTAAATCGTCAAGTGGAACATTGTAATCCGACGGACGGGACGAGGCGTAGGTACCTCTATACGCGTCATAGGGTTGGACATCACAACAAATCGTTTAATTCTTGTTGGAATCGCGCTGCGTTGTCAAGAGGCCGGAAACGAGACTTCTGGTGTCGTCTATAGCCCGTGATGATATTAAATACAGCCACAAACCTATTATGCATTGTGCGACCTTGTGGAAAATTAATAAACGCCACTTGAAACTAGTCGAAACCCTATTGTTTGAATTGCGCGGCGACTGAATGGATTTTGATTAAACATTTCGAGTGCTGTTCAACGACGCCTTATTATGTATTGAGTCTTTATCCTACACTATTACGCACGTATAATATATAATATTATATTATATTATGCGAAGTCGTTCGTACACGAGATGCGATGTTATGTCCGCGTGAAACGACATTCGAATAATAATAATAATAATTACTAATATTGCGGGAACGAGTCGATGACGTTTGTTTTTACGACGCTGGACCAGCACGCCGTACAGAGTTTCAATGCATTATATGGATAGTTAGTTAATAATTATTATTATCATAATGGCTATTAGACAACTACTCGAAAACGCCTGGAGCGACAACCGTGGTATATAGTATAGGTGTAGGTACTGCACGCTTTCTGTGACGGTAACCGCGGTTGGTCAGTGAACTTTACTGTAGGCAATATTATATACCGGCTGTAACCGACTTCGGTAAACAAATTCAATATTGTATTTATACTGCGGCTGTACGCAGCGGTCATGTAACAGTTCGATTTTCATTTAACGGACAACCGTCAATAATGATATACCTTATAAGTTGCTGCTGTCGAACAAAACAAATAAACTGCAGGCATTAGGTTTTTTTGTATTTATTTTTACCACTTTTGTAATTATTGCAGTTATCAATATAAATACCGGTCGTGGCGTACATGAGAGACAAGGTTGGGATTTCGGTAAAATACGATCGAGAACGGAATATTTTTAGGATATATGTATACCTATTTATTTAGCGATTGCAGAGAACACTCAATTTATAAACATTTTTTTCCAACTTTTCTTTATACTCAATGATAATTTTCATCCAAAGATTGAA